GCAAGGCCTTATTTGCATGGCCAGTGTACATCCTTTTAAAGGCTCCGAAGTCTGCGACTGTGAGGGCTGCCATGTTTTGCAGACCGTTAAGTGAATATATAGCTCTTATTATCTGGATACAGTGACCTGAAAGCTTTGGAGGGTAAATATCTCCTCTTAGGAAGTGTCAAAGCTGCCTTGGGGGAGCGGGAGTTCTCTGCATTTAAGGACCAAAGGAAGGAAGTACCTCAAAGATGTGTCCACCATAGCTAAGGAAATATGTGTATTTACGGGCCTAAAGACATGGTTGTTTTTGGAGGTAGTGTAAATATTGGGCATGTACCGTTCCTCTAGGATACAGTTACTCCCCTTGAACTCGGTTGCGCGGTGTAGAGTATGCACTGTCCTCGTGATGTAATTTCACCTCCCTGGCTCAAGTGATCAGGCAGTTTGACCAGGCCGGAAAAGCTGCTGTCAGAACGCCAGGTTAGGCAAGTGAAGCGAACTGTGGCCGGCAGGTTTCTTTGTATTGCTCTTTCTTCTAAGAGCGCCTGCCTGGATGCGAGGGAAGATAGAAGCAAACTGGATTGCCTCTTGGTCTCTCGCTGGGAGTAGGAAGGAGAGTATGAGTTTCTCTTCTTCTATAGTTCAGATTTCATACCTCCTCCTAGGAATTTAAGCCGGATAAAGCAATACAGTGACGCTTGTGTGACTGAAATTTGGGGCTTCTTGGTCCATCTAGTCCAGGATTATTGGCAGCTACTGCGGTGCCTCTCCAGAGCTCCAGGTGAGGTTCTTTCCTCGAGCTGGCTGGAGATGCTGCTGATTGACCCTCCGCCCTGAGGCACAGACTCCTGGTGCCCGCCAAACATCCTGGAGCTCTGCAGGTGGGCTGACACAGCCACTTACCAAGTGGGAGAGTCCTCGATAAGACCGATAGACCAGTGCTGAATTGCAGAGTTGCTCCATCATCCTATAATAACAGCCTACCTCCTGCTTCAGACTCAGGTGCAGTTCTCATGCCCCAAACGGAAGGGTGGAAGCTTGCATCTAGGCTGAAGATGACGCTCCAGGGGGCTGTAGCTTGGTGGTAAAGCCACGACGTTGCACGCAGAAAACCCCAGGTTCATTCCTCAGCGTGGCCAGGGAGTGCCGGGGGAGCGGGGGGCGGGGGACCCACCTGAATCGGGGGAGAGCCACAGCTAGTCTGCGCCAACAGTGCGAGACTAGCTGGAGCAAGAGTCCGACTTGTCACAAAGGCAGCTCGCTGTGCTGCGCTTGAGCACCAGACCCCTCAGCATCGCATAGTAATCACTTAGACTAGCACCCCTCAAGCCCCTCATTCTAACACTTCTGGAGGCGCACCAGCTTGGGAGCCTGTGTGAGGCCTCTGTGTGGTCAAGGAAGCGCACTTCCTGCAGGGGAAGAAGTGGGGGGGTCTTGCCGCTTTGACCTTGCATGGCTGATGTTCTCAGGGGTGCTTTCTGTCACTTGGAGGTGGGCAGAGATGGCTGAGCATCTTCCCCACCCACCCCTGCTATCCAAGGTTGAGGCTCGGGGCTCATATTCTACCTGCGGCAAATGCAGCGTGACAAGTGTGTAATTCTGGCCACCTGCATACAATCAGTGTGATTTATGCATTAAGGCCTCCTTGGCTTGTGTCAAAACCTTGAAAGTGGTTGTTTATAGGCAGAGCGGCAGAGTTTTCCGTGCCTTGACGTACCTCCTCGTATTAACACTGCAAATGGTATAGTGGCTTGTCCGACTGTGTCGACTCAGCAAGGACTTGACAGTCACACCCAGTGCGGGGACAGGTCTCCTGCTGCGTGATTTAGCATAATCTGCCTACTGTCATTCCAATCTAATTTGCGCAAAATCCTAATCCTGTATAAACTTGTGATGAAGAGTATGCTAATCTCTTCAATACAAACTTAATATATTTTGGTTAGTAAAGATCAGGGCTTTATGTACGAATGAATGTCTTTGTGCTACCGTAATTTAGGACTGGTGCATGTTTATTTATGGGTGAATGCAAGGAGCCAGGCTGTTAGTCACAGCATTTGTTGTACGCCTTCCCTGTTGGCTTTTTAGGCACCTGCATTTTAAATGCAAGAGAGGTCTTCTCCATTGTGTCCTCGTTCTGCTTCCTGGTGTGTGGGGTGCCATTCAGAGTTCTATGTTGTGTAATGCCACACCTGCCCAGAAATGGTATCAAGTACTAGTCCAATAGACCCATTCAAGGTCACATGATGAGCTTCGTGACTGAGCTGGTTTGAACCTAGCGCTGTAGCTGCTCCTTGCTTGTGATTGATGCTTGCGTGTCTGAGTCGTGTTTAATATGGTAACAAATCGTATATAAGCCATTGTAAGCTGCCATGGAGGTCTCAGTTGGCTTTCCACGCCGTCATTCCCCACCAGGTGCCCTCCAGGTGTGCTAGACTGTATCTCGCATGGCAAACCTGGCTAGAGGGAACAGGGTTGGGGGATCGTTCTTGAAAGATTCCACGTGAAAGAAAGGGCCATGTCCTGATCCAAGCATTAACGGAGAGCAGTGAAGGGTCCGGATGAAGCTCGGGGCTCGCTCTTCTGGCAACCCCGTACGGCACATAGAGTGATATCGCTCCCGAGATGGCTGTTGTCTAAAATGGTGAACCACGAACGGGACTTAAAGATGGCTGGCAGCCTGCAGGATTCACAGTCCGCACAGCACGTGCAAGAGGGGCTTTGGGCAGCCCACTGCCCGAGACGGGGCAAGTGCCTCCGGGCTTGGTGTCCGCTTGCACGACGCTTGTGCAAACACTGGCAGGGAGAGCTCTTCTGCAGCCGCTCTCCGTGTGTCTCATTTTGCACCTGGAAAGGCAGCAGGTTATCTGAGCTTGTTAATCAACACCAGGGAGGAAAGTTTAGGCCATACTGTTGGCAGCTTGCCCTTGACCTGATCTGGGATACTTCTGCGTCGCTTAACGCTTCCAGCATGAGGTGCTGGACAGCTTCTGGGGCTCCTTTGGCAGCCCAGGTTCCCAGGATGTGTCAAGAAGAGACGACTGGGGAAAGTCTGCCGTTTTTGTGTCATACAATAATCACGAGCTTGTGTGTGGAATAGTGTCCCTTAAATTTCTGAGCCCTGAGGTTCTTTGATTTCTGACCTAAAGCTTGCAGCTAATCACGTCCCCAGAGGGTGTGTTAGACAAGAGAACCACCCAGCCTCAAAGGTAGCCCTTTTTCTGGGCCTGCAACCTTTGAGGGCTGGCCTTTCTGTTTCATTTACTGGGACTGATGTCATGATTTGATGGCACTGAGTGCCATAGGAGTGACTGGCCCCAGTGAAGGCTGATGGGAAGGAAATGAGTCCCGAGCAGTGTTAAAGGTGGGTAACCCAGGAGCCCTTATCAAGCCAGCTGTGCTCAGTGTGTAAATAAAACAGAATTTATTTGCTGGGGATTAGAAAGAGATAAATCCAGAGTGAAGTTGTAGTGCTTTAAATTCCGGTGGCATATTCAGCTTAAGCCAGTATCAAGAGATGGTGAGTGCAGTTTTGTTGCGGGTGTACAAGCAGAAGAACGTTACAGCTAAATCAGACGTAGAGGAAATACAGGGAGTATGTAGGGAGCCCAACAGTAACGACGAAGGAGGATTCTGTACAGGATAGCAGATAATATGTCCCTACGAGCCCACTTAGGTCATCAGTCGGAGCCCTCCGTCGTGCCCGCCGTGAGGTGTGGGGAGAACTGAGGAGGAGAAGGGCCTTCTCAGTCGTCACACTTGACCTTTGGAATTCTCTCTAGGGAAGGTGCGAGTGGCACCTACTTTATCTTGCTTTTGGCACCAAGTTAAGACTTTTTTATTTGGTATCTGTTTTTAGATTAGATTATTGGTTTGCTGCTGGTTTATTGTTTTATTGGTTGCTGTTACTAGTTATATCGTTTGTTTTCCTCCTGTTTTATATGGTTGTTTTTATCTTGTATTTTAATTTTACTATGTTTTATGGTCTGTTGGTTATTGTCATTTATTTTTATTTGTAGTTGATGGTGGGCTGTGAGCTGCTGAGGGAGCCTCTGGCTTATGGGGCAGCGTGCAGAGGCGATAAAGAAATAAATATAAATTGAGTGGATTAAGATGCAAGGGTCAAATAGGTCAGGGGGCTCAGGGCAGACATCCTTTAGCATATCTAAACTGGGTGTGAGTGAGAAACAAGACTTGACAATCCAGAGAGGTGCACCTGGCACGAACACTTTATTCATTCAGGGTGCCAGGTTAAAACCTCCTTATTTACCCAGCATTTTAAGGTTTGATGGCACTTTTAAGATAGGAATTTTGTTATAAGTGTTTTCATGCTAGTTTAATTGTGCCCCTCTGCTGTGAGCCGGCTTGAGACCTGCTGGTATAGACGGGATGTAAGTGCTTTAAATAAAATGAATATATAAGTCTCCTGATGTCCACCTTAACAGTTTAAAGCTGTTCTGGTCGTTTTAGGGCTCTCTGCAGCCACATCATGGCTGTTCTTTGGCTCAGTTAGTCCTGGCGCTAGCTTTCCCCAGCCTGGGTCCTTCTAACTCTCCCGTTTGCATCTGTGACTGGGGCTCATAGGAGCTGGAGTCCAGCCGCAGAGAGCTGGTGCCTCGTTTTATGTGGTGCTGGAATGGAGGGCCCTGAATCTGGGGACACGTCCGGCATCCCTGGGTCGTGGAGAAAGGAAAGTCTGGCCTGAGCGCATGGGCACGAAGCCAGTGGGACACGGCCATGATGCGAGGAAGGACTTTGCCTGGCAGCTCGAAGCTGTAATTGCTCCTCTCCACTGGGGAGGAAAAGGAACCAGACACGAGTATAGTATAATCGGATATGGGGCAAAAGTGCCCTGCTGTTTCCTTCGGGCTGATGCATCGGTTGTGGCCCCACCCCTGCGAGTGAAAGGAGAGACGGCCAGATGGGGAAGAGGAAGGCTGGCCTTCTGGAGAAATGAAACTGAAATTTATCTCTGCCTGCTGCTGGTGTGCCTTCTCTCCCTCCCTCCCTTCCCTCAGCCCCGCGGCCCTCACTGTGGCACAGCCCCAGAAGAGGGTCCCACTGCCTCTCGGCACACAGAGGTGCTCGCCCTCTCCCCCTCCAGCCCAGCCCCCTCCTCTTCGGGGCGCTGCCTTGTCTTGCCAAGAAGGTTTGGCCTCTTGTGTTTCTTGCCACTGGGTGCGATGCCTGGGCTTTACCAGCGCGGAAGAGAAAGAGGTAAGGATCTCCCGTTTCCCCCCACCTCCTCCTCGTTTTACAGGCTGCCGCCTCTTGAAATAGGGATCACCCTCCCTCCCTTGCCCCCACCCTCCCCCAGGTTTGCGTGTTCTTTGGCCGCTCGTAAGGTTAAGGTAGTTGGGTGCTTGTTTTCTGCAAGAAGGCAGTTGTGGGGAACAGATATAGGGCTTGTCTCTGGGACCTTCAATCAATCCAAGAAAATCAGAACGTGCTTGTGCCCGTGGAGAAAATGAAGAGAGGGGGGCGTTCTTAATTGCTACCAAAAAGACCCTTGAACACTAAAAAATTCATCATGGTGTATAGCACAGTAAGTCTGCGACTTCTGAACTTCTGCAGTAATTCTCTTGTGTCCAAACGTTTGCAGGGTTGCAAAGTAAGTTTGAGTGTGCTTTGGAGTAAGGTGTGTTGAACCCCCCCTGGGGCTTGCCTAGTAGATCTATATAGGGTGGTGTTTTAAGATGGCTGTCCCTCAGTGGTTCATGGAATACGATGCGTTACTAGGTTAGGGAGGTTCTACAGGTTTGTTGTGGTTTCAGCCCCCAAACCCATCACATCTCCAATAGATCTTGCCAAAGGCGTGTCCGGGAGATCTGGATCTGAGGCCTGGCACTAGTGAGATTTACTAGAGTACTGGATTGAAGGGATCCTTAGCCTGGCCTGGTAAATAAATAGATACTCTGTAGTCCCACACTTCTGATAAAATTCAAGTTGTGCTTGGACCGAATGACAATTTCTCTCCTTCTGCAAGGTGTAGCCTGTAAGAACACTCCAGTTCTTGGTTGCAGCACTTTGCTCTTAAGTATCTAGGAATTAAAATCTCTCATTGTTCTTTCAACAAACCAAAAAAGATTCTGGTTTCTTAAGGACCAGGGAATTATTTTTCACTGCTCTGGATTCTACACTCCTTCCTCAGTGAGTGACTGGGTTCGTACTTCTGAGCCAAGCTAGTTTGTTTTGTGGAGGTTTTCCCCTCCCTGCCTTTGAGGCAGTTTTGTACAGTTTGTGTGTGTGTGTGTGTTGTGTGAGAAGGTTGAGGAAGAGGACTGTGATTGGAAGTTGCAGAAAAGTGATGGAGGGCACAGAGCAGAGTCCTGCAGATGTGTTTGTGCGCACAAGCTAAAAGGAGTCCACGGAAAGGTCTGCCAGATATTAGGGTGAGTCTAATTTAGGGTGAGTCTAACACATTCTTAGGGTGAGTCTCTTTCTGCAAACAGGTGGACTAAAAACTCACTGCTCCAAGACAAAAAGAAAAATACAGCTGAGTCTGTCAGGGGTTTGCGGTTCACTTGCCATGGAGATCAGCCTTGCTGTTCCTAGGGACAAAACTGTTGGGCTTTGGGTGTGATTTTATGCATGTTTAGACAGAAATGCTCAGAGCTACAACACATTTTTCGGTCTAAACATGTAGGATTGCTCCCTTAACCAACTTTTTGGCTGTGGGCCACTGCATAAAGTTTGGACAGCTGATACGGGCTTGTCTCCTCTTTTACTGGTCTCCACTGTCCTTCTTTGGACAATCTTGGTCATACCTTTGCAAAAGCTAAGGCATTTCCAGCCATAGGGAAAGCTGCAGAAAGGTTGGGTCTCCTTATAGAAGACTATCACTTCAGTAATTTAAGCTTGTTTAGTTTGTGAAAATGACCACCACAAGCTGAGGCCAAGAACACTAGCTTTTATTTTTTTTAATTTATTTATAACATTTTTATGCCACCCCCATCGCAGAGAGCCTCGGGGCAGCTTACAAAGCAGGATAAAACAAACATAGAATAAACATTAAAAATTCGGGGCATCTCGGCTATATCATAAAACCAATAAATGAAAACAACAGTTAACAATTAAAATATCGTTTAAATAAAAAGGTCTTGGCCTGGCATCAAAAAACAAATAACGACGGCGCCAGGCGGACCTCTCTGGGGAGCACGTTCCATTTTAGAGAGCTTCAAAGCTGGTGACTAGACAAATTTGAGGGTCGTGGTCTTATCAGTAGTTACTAATCATGATAGTTCAGCTGAATGTGTGAAAATACCATAGCAGGGCTGGGGAGATTCTTGCCTTCTCCTCGGAGTTCATTGGCTAGCTCCTGTTGGTGGCAGGGTGCTGGGCTCGATCGGACTACTGTTTTCTTTCTCAGTTGTGTCCTTATCCATACTCCTGCTCCCCTGCGCACTCACAGTGTTTGCAGATGAGTTACGAAGCTATTCGTTGCCTTCCTGCCGCTCTCCGCATCCATATTCTGCAAAATAATGGGAGACAGCTCATGCGCAGGCCAGACTAAGAGAAGCTTCTCCATTGCTGTGCTATGAGAAATCCTATTATTTAGAATGCCAGCGAAGTTGGGTTGCTTGCCTCTCTTTTGTTGCCCAGGAGAGCCTGGGTCAAGCAGAACGTGCTTTGGATCGAAGCCACACCAGCTCTGGCTTGGAGGAGCATTTCTCAGTCCCTGACTCGTTTGTAGGCCCCCTGGGTTTCCTTCAGCTACTTTGCTTGCAGTAAGAGAAATGGGCTGCACTGCTCCGGAGGAGGAGGAGGAGGAGGAGGCAGTTGGTGTTGCCCGGTGTGATCTTGGGAGGTGGGGCAAGGGGGCTGGTCAGGTCGAACCTTCTGGACGCCAGTCGGCCTGTAACCAAGATCTAAAACTCGCCCTGTTCTCTTGTTTTCTCTTTGCCAGGCCTCTGCGCAGCAGCTCCCGTGAGAGCGACCCCCAGCTGCCCCTCATCTGGTGCCCACGTGCCCACTCACACCCTCGTGCCCCCGCAGCACGCTATGAGCAGAGGGGCCATTCGAGGCAGAGGTTCAGATCAGGCACCCCCAAAACACAGCGGCCACTTTAACCCCACTTTCTTTAACGGTCCTGTTGTCCCGCAGGGAGGTGGCCCCGAGGATTTTCACCAGCGGCAGGTCTTCTTCCTTAAGGGGCAAATTTCCGAAGCGCCACTGCTTCACACCCAGACCGAGAGACCCCACGTGTCCCGGGGCTACTACCAGGCTCCGAGAATCTCCTCTCTACCCACTCACCCGAATTTCTCCTGCAGCCATTGGGGTGGGGTAGCCAGAAGGCCTCCCTATAGCAATAACTGGCTGGAACAGAAGCAGGCTTCTCAGCCCCAGCCAAAGTACGGCAGCAGAAATCCAAGGAGTAGTACTGACCTGCTTGCCTCAGACTTGCAGAGGCTGCATGTAGACAACAACGGTGTGGAGCAAAAGCTCTTGGCCATCTTGGGGCAGCTCGCGCCTGGGGAGGCAGAGCCAGCTCGCTGGTTTGCCCGTAAACTCAACATCCAAAAGAAGGAGGTCAACCATCATTTCTACAAGCTTCAGAGGCAAGGGAAGTTGTGCAGGATAGAGGGGACCCCTCCGCTGTGGAAGCTAGCGAGCTATCCCAAGCCCCAGGCCGCGGCACGGCAAGCGCCCCTTGCCAGCTGGAGGGATCAGGGCCAGCTCCCAGGTGTTGGGGCTGGGCAGGAAGAGGGCGCTCTCTCCGACTCGGAGCACCCTTCCGACTCTGCGGACATGGCCGAAGTCAGGGAGAAGATCTGCAACTTTCTGTTCGGTGTCGAGGACTCCACTGCGTTCAACCTCGCCAAAGGCATCGGCTTGTCCAAGGCCAGGGACGTCCACGCCACCCTGACGTCCCTGGAGAAGCTGGGAGACGTCTGCAAGGAGAATGGCAACCCGCCCAAGTGGTCCCTCACCAACAGCAAGCGGCAGAGGATGCAGCTCACGCTGAAAGCCAGAGAGCTCCGAGAAGTGGTCCCCCCCGCCCCCCCCCCCGCGCATGCAGAGATGCCGGCCACTGTGCCAGCCCCGCCTCTCCCATCCCCTTCCCCTTCGCTGCCCCTGCCGCCGCCGCCGCCGCCCCCTCCGCCGCTCGAAGGTGAGGAGGAGAAAGTGGAGAACGGGCAGCAGGCATCTGAGCCGGTAGAGCAGGGGGGCGGCTGCTCCCCCCGGACAGGCCCCCCTCGCAAGCAGGCCCGGTACCACTGGTCCTCCAGTTACGACAACTTTGAGAACGGCAAGTGGGCCACGGATGACATCCCGGAGGACCTGAACGCCATCAGCAACAACCAGGACGAGTCCCGGTGCATCATGGAGTCCCCGCTGTCCCCCAGCTACGCGGCCCAGTTCGAGACGGCCTTTCAGTGCACCCCCTTCGAAAAGCTAATGGTGTGTCAGAAAAAAAACCCGGTCAGCGGACTAATCGAATACACCCAGTACACATACCAGCACTGTGAGTTCGTCTTGCTGAAGCAGAGCGGGCCTTCGCACGAGCCGCGGTAAGGAAGCGTTTCTCGGCAGCAGGGGGGCGGCGGCGGGGACTGGGGGAAGGCCCTCATCCCGCCTGGTTCATTCAGTTTTTGTGAATGCATGCCACCCATTCAGCAAAGCTTCCCAGGCGGTGGGCAGTACAAAGCTTCCACCCGCAAGAGTGGAAGGAGCAGGTTTAGACATAGCAGGAAAGCGTGTGTCTCAACAAGAGTTATACAGAGTCGTAACCAAGAATAAAAGCCAGCAGCAGGGCAGAAATCTAAAAATGCACTGACACCGTTTTTAAAACTGAAGGCCTTAAGAAGCTCACAAAAGGAAACAGAAGGGCCTTTCTCTTTGGGCTTTATTTAATTTGTCTTAGCTTCCTGACAACCTTGCAGAACAGTTTCATTGGCTGAGTAGAGAGTCCGACTGAGGACGGTGAATGGTCTTGCGGTCCAGAAATGAGTGTTCTCTTTCAGCCGCTTATAGCCCGATGTTCCAACAGAGTTTCTCAGAGCGCAGATGCGTTTACCTAAAAGGGTGATTCCTCCCAGCTAACCAATCCAGGGTTGTAGTCTTTGTTTCTCCTCTGCTTGGCTAATGGTGCTCTCCTAGCGGTTACAAAGCACCACAGTTGACCCTAACGGTTAATAGCAGCAAGATTTTTCTGGGCCTCTGTAAAAATCCAGTCATTCATCACTGAAGTGCAGGAATCCCTCTTTTGATCTTGCTTTCCATCCCCATTAAACTCTCTTTTCTAACAGTCTTGGCTAAATTATCTAATAACGTCCCTCAGATCTGCGAGTCTCTAAATATAGATTGTAAACTCTGTGGAGCCGCGGAGGTGCCATTGAAATGCTGTGGGACAATAGATTTCGCCTTCAGGAGGCTTTGTGAAGTTGGGTAGCATCAAACGCATGGCGAGGGGAGATGGTGGAAGCTGTGTGTGTTGTGGGGGAACAGAGGTCCCCTTTCTGCCCCCTGCTTCTTGGCTCTGACTTGCTAATAGCCCCTTGAGAGTTGAGAATTGCCCCCCTGTGAAGAGTAGGAGAGTGGAAGCGAAACTGAGTTAAGAGTGCATGAAATGGAGAAGGGATGCTGGAATGGACGGTGCTAACCCACTTCCTCTCCCCAAATGTTTAGTGGGATGCTCAGTTAAAGCTTTCCGATCTTCTGCAGTAGTGAATCTTTGGTCGCATTGCGGCAGGGTCTGGACGGGCCGCTTGTGTCAGTCTCTGGCGGGAAGCCTCTGCCGCCATGCAGAAGGGACACGGCCCACCTCCTTCTCCACCTTCGGTCACTGGGGAGAACTGGGTCGGGTTGCTGTGCTCCCACTCGCGTGCGTTCTGTCGTCACGATACTTAGAGCGCCTGTGCAGAGGCAGGCTCGCCACTTGCCTCGTTCAGCACCTGCGGAGTGCCAGCGCTCGCCACCTTCTGAGGCCTCGGTAGACCCGCCAGACAGGAAGAATGGCCTGTCCCTTCCCAGTCCTGAGAGAGCGCAGGCTGCCCTCACTCTTGGGCACCTCTTGAGGCCCTGTTGTAACCTGGGCCAAGCCTTCTCTTCCCTGTTCGCCTTGGCTGCCCCCTGAGCGTGTCTGCGTTGACATCCAGACCATCAAAGCTTCTTGGGAGCTTCCTCCATGCAAAGTTCCGTTATTTATTTATTTATTTATTTATTTATTTATTTTCGATTTATATCCTGCCTTTCTCCTACAAAGGGCTCAAGGCAGCTTACACCATTCTCCTCCTCCATCTTATCCCCACAACAACAACCCTGTGAGGTAGGTTGGGCTGAGAGCCTGTGACTGGCCCAAAATCACCCAGTGGGCTCCATGGCCGAGCGGGTACTCGAACCCAGACCGCCTGAGTCCCAGTCCCAGGCTCTTAACCACTATACCACCCTGGCGGCAGTAATAGCGTATTACCGTAATCGCGGTAATAGCGGCAAGTTCCCCAGAGAACTCAGATCATGGCAGAGGCCTTTGCCAAGGGCCCCGTTAGTGCATGCGCAGCAAGCATGAAGCCCGCTGACCAAGAGAGGGAAGGGCCGTGTCATTCACAAGGCGAAAGAGTTTGCTTTGGTTAGGACCCAGAGCTTGGAAGGGAGCCCGCATGTGGCGGCGTAACTAGAACCACGAAATCCTTCAGCCGATAAACCCAGCGAGGCCGCCTGAGTGCCCTTAGCAGAGCCGGACCCTCTCCACCCCTCCAAACACAAAGGGTTGTTATCGGGATCCACGTCGGTGCAGGGACAGCCGTGGGAGCTGCCCCACGCTCCTTGGATAAAAATGTGGGACCAGGGCACCCGCTTTCTCGAGACATACAGGTAGTGCGTGTGCTCGCGTATTATTTTTTTCACCCATTTCTGCAGGTTTAAATTCCAGGCTGTGATTGATGGCCGCCGGTTCCCTCCAGCGGAAGCGGGCAGCAAAAAGCTGGCCAAGCAGGAAGCCGCGGCCAACGCCATGAAGATTCTGCTCCACGAAACCGAGCACGAGGGGGAAGATGCCATGGAGCCCGAGAAATCTCTCTATGAAGACAGCTCCCTCAGCGAAGCTGAGGTGAGAGGTGGCTGGCAAGAAGCGGAGCTTGCACGGGGGAAGCTGGGGGTGAGTTTGGACCAGGAATGCAAATGGGATTGCGCCCCGTGTAAAGCGGCGTGGCATCCGGTCACGCTACCTTGGCATCCTTCTAGGCGCATGGGCCCTTCCCCAACCTGGTGCCCTCCAGCAATGTTGAGACTATAAGCTCCATCATTCCCAAGCAGCTCCTAATCTGTCCAGGCCCGGCCCTCAAGCGTTTGAATGAGCCAAGAGGCTACCTGCATGCACACAGGGGTGTTCCACACATCTCCTGATCAAGAAACCCCACAAGAGAGCCAGTGTGGCGTCGTGGTTCAGAGCCTGGGACTGGGACTCAAGCGATCCGGGTTCGAGTCCCCGCTAGGCCATGGAGCCGACTGGGTGACTTTGGGCCAGTCACAGCCTCTCAGCCCAACCTACCTCGCAGGGTTGTTGTTGTGGGGATAAGATGGAGGAGGAGAATGATGTAAGCTGCCTCGAGCCCTTTGTAGGAGAAAAGTAGGATATAACTCAGAAAAAGAAATTAAAAAAAATCATTGGCATGCTTGGCTTGAACTTTCTTTTAGAATTGGGTGGGCACGGCACTTCCCCGAGAGGTTGCAGCCTGTAGCCCCTGCGTGCAGAGTGTGTCTGCCCTAGAACAGGTGACCTGCGGCCTCCCAGGCGCTTTGGACTACAGCTCCCATACTCCCTGGCCATTGCCCATGCTGGGCGGGGTGTGTGAGAGTGGCAGGCCAAAATGTTTGGAGGGTACCCGATTGACTGGAGAGGCTTCTTGCCTTGCAACGCTTGGCTTTGGTAGCAGAAGCCCGAGGTGCGAAGGAACTGCTTTCCAGTGCATGAAGCGAGAGTGCTAGAGGCTCGGCGGGTCAGCGGGATTTGCATTCCAAATCCGCAGAGAGTTCCTCCAGAAAGTAGCATCCTCAAAGCATTGCTTGCCAGTGGCCTGAAACTGGGCCTGGGATCTGGCCGGGGTGGCATTCTTTCATTTCTACCCCCTCTCTGTCTGTCTGTCTCTCTGCCTGCCCGCCCGCCCTCCTCCACCCCTAGCCGGAGCAAAGTGAGCCAGAGTCTTCATCAACGACGTCGCAGCTCAACGCGCTCTCCGGGAAGAATCCCGTCAGTGCTTTGATGGAATATGCACAGAAGTCAGGCAGCATCTGCGAGTTCCAGCTGGTCTCTCAGGACGGGCCCCCTCACGATCCAAAGTAAGGATCGGCCTGTGTGTCTTAGGAACATGACTAGGCTGGCGTCCGTGTGGGTCGACCAGCCGTAAAGCTGTGTCTCTCCAATGGAAGAGTGGGGAGGGCTGGGGCTTGGGGCAAGGATCACGTGAGGATTTGCAGGCAGCACCTGCCTCGAACAGGTGTTGCCCCAGTAAGGGTGTCGCTTCTCCCCTCTCCTGGCGGGGGTTTCCCCACTGAGAACGAAACTATAATTCTGTGTGGGGTGGCGGAAGAAAGAAAGGGGTGCACACCGCACAGGCACTGGGCTGGTTTTCTGCCGTGGCAGCTGCCACCGCTGCTGCTGACCCACGGCAAGTTGAACCTGCTCCTACCTGCCCAGCCTCTCTCATTTGCATGGGGTCAACCTGGTTACAGCAGAGCCTGACCGAACACCGGAAATGGCTCTGGATTGTGGTTGATTAAACATGTAACTGAGCTATATAGATACTCATCCCCTCTCTACTTAATCTCCTTCCCCATGTCACCACTTCCTGGACTGTGAGCCCCTCGAGGACAGGGAGCTGTCTCTCACTGTCGAGCGCCGTACACATCCCAGGCCCCTGTAGGAGCAGGAATGATAACAGCAATGCTTAAGTGGGCCTCCGCTAAGCCAGAATTGCATTGAGCTGACCCCACGCTTTGCCATGGCCTCCTATCCAGGTTCAAGTACTGTGTGAAGGTGGGTGACCGCGTGTTCCCCACCGTGGTGTCCAACAGCAAGAAGGGAGCAAAGCAGATGGCGGCCGAAGCCGCCATGAAAGGCCTCAGCGGCGATCCAAGCAGCTTCCTCGAAGAGGTAGGCAGGTCTTTCCCCCCTTCTCCAGGCGTCTCTGCCTAGCCTCCTTGCTCCTCCTTAATAGGCCCCTGTGCTCTCTCTGTCTCCCTCCCCCCCCGCCTGCCTCTCTCTGCTTGCTTGACTTTAGATAGAGGGCCAGGACGAGCAGCCTTCAGAGGCGCCTGGTGGTCAGTCCATAAACCCGGACGAGAGCAAGGCGGCGAGTGCCAAGGGTATCGGCGAGCTGATCAAGTACCTGAACTCCAACCCCGTCAGTGGCCTCCTGGAGTACGCCCGGACCAACGGCTTTGCTGCCGAGTTCAAGCTGATTGACCAGACGGGACCCCCCCATGACCCAAAGTGAGTTGCTGCACTTGCTCCTCCGAGCGAGCCGCAGCGTCTAGCGCGCAGTCTGTGGGATGCGCAAGCCGAGCCAGACCTAATCGGGACCCTTCGTTCTGGTGGGTGGCGGCTCTCCAGGCTCTGCCGGAGGTCCTTTCCCTGCCTGGGTGGCAGATCTCCTTTCTGCGGAGATGAGGCCCAGGGTACGCCGAGCTGGAGCCCTCGCCTTGGGAAACGGCCCGTAAAAGAGGGTCTGCTGCTCACGAGGACTTCCCTCCCCGTGGCAGGTTTGTCTTCCAAGCCAAAGTGGGAGGGCGCTGGTTCCCGGCCGTCACCGCACACAGCAAGAAGCAAGGCAAGCAGGAGGCAGCCGATGCGGCTCTCCGGGTCTTGATCGGCGAGACGGAGAAAGCGGAACCTGCGGAGGGCATGACGATCACAGAGGTAGGGCTTGCTTGCGCAGACTTGCGGCACGGTCCATGGGGGGGCTCGCCCCCCCTTGCTCCCCCCTCCATGGTCTTGCATCACCCCGAGGGCTTAAGGCTCGTGTTGCTGCTGGGCTCGGCTGGATTTTTTGGTGTTGCGCTTTGTTACGAGTGATGAAGCGAGCTTTTCCTTGAACGAGTCTTCATTCATGAATACTCCTCTGTTAGAATACACAGAGGGCTTCGCTTGGAAGCAGGGCCTGTGCTGGGTCATTTTGGGGTGTATTCCCGTTCCTTTCAAACATGTCTTGGCAACAGTAAAGATGCTTTTATTTAAGTGGAAAGCAGAGTTTGCCAAAGCACCGACTGCCCTACCCCTTTCCCTGTTTTCTGGGAATTTGGAGGTATTTCCCAGGAACACAGGGACGAAAGCTGAGCAGCAAAATTTGGCTTTTCGATCATCTCTGAATCTTAAGCCATCTGGCTTGGAAACTGGATATAATTGGGAGATCCAAATGCCTGTAATTGGGAGATCCAAATTCAAATCAAAGACTCGGCACTGTCCAGGCCTGCCTTGTCAAGGTGTGTAAACTTTCTGCAGTTTAGCTCTCCATTCTGTTCCTGCCGGACTAGCTTTCGGTGAATCTGGGGGTTTGGCGGATGCCCCGTTGGGTTTCACGTAACAAAAGCAGGGATTCCTGGTCATATCCTCCTCCCTCTCTCTCTCTCTCTCTCTCTCTCCTGTCCCCACGCTCTCTCTGGCATGGCAGCTCCCCGTGAGTGGAAGCACCCTGCACGACCAGATTGCGATGCTGAGCCACCAGCGGTTCAACACCCTCACCGCTCGCATCCAGCACAGCTTGCTCGGGCGCAAGATCCTGGCTGCCGTCATCATGAGGAAAGGACAGGACGGCCTGGGCGTTGTAGTGAGCATTGGAACAGGTAAGGACGGAAGGCCGCTTTTCCACAGAAGTGGGACCAGAAGCCCCGTGGTTCAGAAATTGCTCAGCTTAGCAGTAGGCCTGGCTGAATTGTCTTAGGCTAAAGTCTCCCTGCTTCTGGGATGGGAGGATTATACTAACCTGCTTCACGGGCTGCTATCATGAGGTTAAAGCTTTCCCATTGCTTTCAAACCTGGTTCCTTTTTTTTTTTTTTTTTGGTGGCTGTCAAATCAGAAATGGTTTCTCCGCAAGCGTACCTTTAAAAATGGTAACCATGACCTTATTTATGTTAAGAATCCCTGTGCCGTATTTCGGGACAAAGGCTTTCTCCAAAGTAGCTTCCAAGCAACAAAAGTGAAAATGTATACAATACCATATGAAATGAATACAATTGCGCATGGCCATACAACACCAGCCCAGAATATATGAAAACAGAACCCAGGGCAATAACTACAATTTTTTTAAATGGTTTGGCCGACAGGGTCATGGGTCGCAGTTCCACGGGGTGTAGAGTTACGGGTTAAGAGCCAGTGTGATATGTAGTGATTCATGTGTTACACTGGGGAGACCAGGGTTCAAGTCCCTGCTCAGCCATAAGCTCATTGGGTGACTTGGGGCCGGTCATCCCTACCTACCTCACAAGGTTGTTGTGAGGATAAAACAGGGGAGGGATTCTGGAAACCATCTTGGGTTCTTTGCAAGAGGAAAAAAGGCAGGATGCGAAGGTGGTGGCAGAAGTAACAGGGAGAAGAGGAAGAGGAAGGACATAAAAGCAAGCTGACGTACTTGTCCACAGCACCTTGGTGTTGGGAGGAGGGCTCACCTGCTCCTGTCTAGGGTGTAACACAGTGCTGCGTGCCCTTCTTGAGGGTCTCAGAGAGTCATTAAGATGCTGCAGGGGGGACCTGGAACAGAACGGCTTCTGCCCAGGCTCCCAGTGGCTCTGTCGTTCCATCTTGTTCCCCTCCATTCTGTGTCCAGGGAGATTTTTCCGGTACTTCTGGAGGCTCCCGTAAGCCTCCTGTACCTCCCTCTTGTGTGTGGGGGGCACTTGTGTTCGTCCTAGAAGGGTTTGGTACTCAGCATAGGCAGCTGATGCAGAGTGTGGTGGGCAAGGGGGGGCAGCAACAATCATAACGGAAAGGGCATCGTTCCAAAGGGAGAAATGAAGCCAGGACTTGTGTTTCCTGTCTCTCCGGCCCCCCAGTTCGTCGAAGCATCCTCTTGACTGCTAAGATGCCGAGTGTGCGTCTCCTTCAGTCCCGATGGGGCAATGAGGCAGGGACTGTGCTGACACAGTCAGTGGCCCTCGGTTCCAGATTTGGGGTTCTTGATTCCTTTGGAGCAGCTGCTGTTGCTGCCAGTGAGTTCTGCACAGCAAGCCAGGGTTCAAAACCGGATCCCCACGTGGGAGTTTTCGGTCGTTCTGGTTGCAACTTCCAGTGCTTGCTGTGCTATTGGAAGAGACCCTCCTGGGGCTGTGGTCAGTGGCTAGGATCAGCTGGGCCCTGCTTGCTGACTGTTTGTTTTCTCTCTCCACCGGCCAGGGAATCGCTGCGTCAAAGGGGAGGAGCTGAGCTTGAAAGGAGAGACGGTCAATGACTGCCATGCGGAGATCATTTCTCGAAGGGGCTTCATCAGGTGAGGTGGAGGCCCCTGGATGAGTCCCAAGGAGCCCCTGGGGCTACTAAGCAAGGGAGGGGAGCAGGCGGATCTTGCATTTGGCCTTCTTCGAGAGGAGGAAAATGCAGGGAGGCTGTAAACTGTGCCTGAGAAAATGGGAAACAATCCTATTGAACCGCAGAAAACAAGCTCCTTAAGCGATAGCCTTAATAAGGCACTGATCTGGTAAGCCGGATGGAGGCAGACCACCCCCTTCTTAAGACATCAAGAGAAAGAAAAATGTGGCCCTTTGCAGACTACCCCGTGAGGCAGACCGAGGCTGCTCCTCCCATACGGCAGAAGCGCGGGCTGAGATGGACCCATTTGCTGAAAGTAGAAATGCCAAAGTTTGTGAAGGAGAAACAAATCCTTTTGCGTTTTCTAAAAACGTCCAGGGGGTTAAAACGGGAGTCATAGGTCTGAGCGAGAGGGCTAAAAGTTTAATGCTCCATGTTCTGACACTCCGTTCCAGATTTCTGTACAATGAACTCATGAAATTCGACCCCTCTGCGCCAGAAGACAGCATATTTCAGCCACTGGAAGATGGCAAGCTGAAGATCAAGGATGACATTACTTTCCACCTGTACATCAGGTGAGTCCAAGCTGCGACTTGTGCACTCGGGTGGATTTGCCTGCTGAGATGAGCTGAGCAAAAAGAGGCACAGAATACAATAGCATTTGTACTAAGAGGTGCATGAAAAGCACCCATGACCAAATTAACTGCTGAAACCAAGTCACACCATGTGGCATTGTAAAATCCTGACTGGGTTCCTGGCCAGGGAGAACCGATCTTTAGGGCCCACTTGGCCTTCTGCAGCAGAGGGCCCAGGTGGACATCTGCGGGAACAGTTTCTCAGGCAGGGAACTGCAACCAAGAAGGCCCCGCTTCACTCTTCCTGGGGCTCCTTTGAAAACACTGAAGGAGTTGAGGGGTGGGGGCGGTCACGTGCCGGCCAGCAGTTTGGCTGAAGGGAGCAGGGAGAGCCCAGAGGGGGAGGAAGGAGGGCCTGGAAGGAGGAGGGAAGAAGTGACTCCGGAGGGCAAGGCCAGCTTCCCCCTCGCACACGGCACACGAAGGATCCTGGTACGTTTTGGAGCTGGCGGTTTGTTTGTTTATTTAGAGTTTTTGTATGCCGTCCCATTGCTTAAAGCCTCGGGATGGCTTACATAAAATAAACACAATACATATAATACAAATTAAAACCCCCGATTCATCCTGGCTGCAAATTAAAACTTATAGATAATATTAAAAGTTGTTAAAATATTGCTTAAATAAAAAGGTCTTAGCCTGGCGCCGAAAAACAAATAAGGACGGCGCCAGGCGGACCTCTCTGGGGAGCGCATTCCACAGGCGGGGCGCCACCGCAGAGAAGGCCCTCCTCCGGGTACTTCGCCTCCTGATGTCTCTCCCAGAGGGCTCCCGGAGGAGGGCCTCTGCTGCCGATCCCAAGGGGCGGGAGGGCAAATATGGTTCCCATGAGCCCTGGCTGGCCGAGGCAGTGGCATCGTGCAGAGGCAGTCCGGTGCTGCCCGGAGGAGTTCGGCGTTCGGAGTTCCCGCATTGGCCATCGGGGGGGCTTCATGCAGGGAGGGGCAGAGCGTCTCCAGGATCCAGACGTGGGGCACAAATCCAGGATGGACGTCAGCCCTGTGCCTGCGGTAGAATCCGGCTTCCTTAGCAGCTTCCCTTTAATATTAAAAGGAAGTCTCTGCTCTCTTATATGGCTATGAAACCCCTGAAAGGCTCAGGCAGCGCCAGGAGAGAACCTCGTGAGCCAGAGGCTTGTGAATGACGGGGGGGGGGTGTTGGGAGGAGGGGGTTGCCTTTCCATGCCCCTTCCCTCCTCCCCGGTGGAGGAAGCACTGCAGCCCCCCCCCCCACAAAGTACGCCTAAAACTGCAGTTAAGCAATCGCTTGAGTAATCGCACAGGACTTGTGTGCCAGCATCTTCACCTCAGTCCATACATGTCTGACTGGAGCTATTGAAGCATTGTGTAGAGGGTACTGGAACCATCCTCCACCTTCTGGGATGTCGCAGGTCATGACACTGCCTTTCCCTGACTCTGCCGGAAGCCATTTTAGGTACCTGCTACGTGGATGTCCTGGTCCAGCCAAGGCATCCTATGTCATTTTCTTAGGAAACAGGGCTACAAAGACAACACAGAATTAATTGAATCCCCCAGTGAAAGAGGCATGTGGGTTATCTACAAACACATCTCCTTTCTGTTCTGTCGGCTCCCTAAATAGGCCAGCAGCCTCCTTCCCCTGGGATGTGAGAACAAAAGAAAATGCCTCTTGCCGTGGATTTTACGCGGTTGCACTCTCCCACTGTTGCCGGGCCTGTCGAGGTGCAGCTGGCTCCCCACCCCTGCCTTTGCCAGGGAACAAAACTATCTCAGTGAGGCAAACGGCTTCATTCCCACAGGACGTCGCTGCAGAACCGCTGGGCAAAGCAGCTTCAAAGCCATTACCTGGTATTCTTCCTCCTAACGGGATTCAAGGCCATTGTTTTTGTTGACTACACACCCCGCACAAACTTAGCAACCGTCTCGCCATCATGCCAGTCGGGCCTGAACAATACAGCATGTTTTGTCGCTTCTTCTTCAGCACAGCACCTTGTGGGGATGGTGCTCTCTTTGACAAATCCTGCAGCGACCAGGCCAACACCACCGGGGAGGGCCAGCACCAGCCGCTTTTTGAGAACCCGAAGCAGGGGAAGCTGCGTACCAAGGTGGAGAATGGTAAGGACCTGGAAAGTGGAGCTCCTGCAGTTTCTAGTCCTTATGGCTTGCCCCGTCAGGTCCCTGCGGATGAAGTTCTACCTTCTCAGGTCTTAGGCGGCACAGGTGTGTGAGCCTACCAGGAGGCCGTTTCCTACTAGGGCAGACCAAAGAGAACCCTCTGACCTCAGGGAGGAGGTGCTTCTCAGAAGCAGAGGCCCAGCTTTTCACACTGAGGGACCCAGCTGCCATCCCCAGCCTGTCCAGGTAGGACCGGGAAATTGTCTGCCTGAAGCCTCCATGTTGCCAGCACCGTTGCAAATTCCGGGCTCGGTGGAGCAAAATTCCGGGCTCCTAACAGGGGAGATGGCTGCTCTAGATCCCTTCAGCCTGAAAGGCTTGTTCCAGTTATTTTAATTATTACGGCTTTCGCATCCTGCCCTCTTTCCATTTGCAAGGAGTCCCTGCTGACCTACAGCTCCTCTTCTTCTGTTTATCCTCACAGCAGCCCTGGGAGGGAGGTCGGCCGAAAATCAGCAGTGGCTCAAATCGGCCCGCTGAGCTTCTTGGCCGAGTGGGGACTCAAAGGTGCGTCTTCCGGGCCTCAGTCCCAGTCCAGCGCCCCTTTGCCCGACCTTTCTCTGCGTTAACTCGCTTTGCCCCTCTGCCGTGGCAGTAGATGGTATGGGTTCTCCTACGACCTTCCGCTCCACCGCCGAGCCGCTGCGCCAAGCTTTGCCTTGCCGGCTCTTTACCCGCAGCAGCGTGTGCTGTGGCGGTTTCCACGAGAGTGTGCCAAGCTCCCTGGCAGGCAGTGCTGGGTTACCGCTCTGCCAGCGTGTAGTTAGAGTGCTATTTAACCATCGTTGCGTTTGATGGGACTCGCGGGCACCCCTTGCTTCAAGCAGTGAGACGGATGGTCAGGCGCCAGCTGAGGCAGCTTTTGACACCGACAGAGATGGTACACCGAGGATGAATCAGCCTTCCCCAGCTGGACATCCTCGGGAGGTTGGGCGATTCTGGGGAAGCATCTTCTGAGTGGCAGGTGTGGAAGGCTCCTCTGTGCTCAGATGTGGTCTCTCCGTGCGAGGGCGGTACCCATTTGATACATCGGGATATTCGACTGCCCCTGCCTACGTGCCCTGGGGTTACCGTCTGTCTGGCGGTGAATCATAAAACAGGAAGGGGCCATGAAGGCCATCGGTTGCAGGACTCCAGGTCACACCACCCCACTCAGAAGGCTGTGGCTGGAAACCACAGCAGCACTGACCTTGGACCGTTGCTCTGACCCAGAGGAGCACTATCTGGCTGAGGCTTGCTTTCTCACAGGGGAGGGCACCATTCCGGTGGAGTCGAGCGACATCGTTCCCACCTGGGACGGGATCCAGCATGGCGAGCGCCTCCGGACCATGTCCTGCAGCGACAAGATCCTGCGCTGGAACGTGCTGGGCCTGCAGGGGGCGCTGCTGTCCCATTTCCTGCAGCCGGTCTATCTCCGCTCGGTCACACTGGGTACGTGGCTCTGGAGGAACCTTGCTCTCTTCCCCGGGAGTCTCTCGTCATAGCTGGAAACTCCCGAGCGGCCGACATCAATCACGGGGCACACGGGGCGGTCTGCAGAAGAGCACGAAGCACAAAACACTGCCACTCGCTAGCAAGACGGCTCTGCCAAAGAAAATAAGGCCGTTGGAGTGGTGGAGCTCAGGCGTAGTTTCCACCTCCGCCCTTCCGGGGAACCAGGCGACGGGGCAGCGTGGAGGCCATGGTGCGGCAACGGGGCAGCCTTCCCCTGCCGGGGTGCCGCCGCGGCCGCCCCACCTTTCCTTGTCCTGCCCTCCCCGTGAGCTGCTCTCCAGGTTCTGTCCGTCACCGCTTCTCTCTCTCTCCAGGCTACCTGTACAGCCAGGGCCACCTGACGCGTGCCATCTGCTGCCGCATGTCGCGAGACGGCAGCACGTTTCAGACCGGGCTGCCTGAGCCGTATTTTGTCAATCACCCTGAGGTAGGGCTCTCTTCCAACACGGTTTTCTCCTTGCATTTTCCCCCGGTAGCCCTGCTTACCAGATGCTATTAATTGCTTTTTGTTCACGTGAATCCCCCTGCCTCTCTCCTCCCACCCGCCAGCCTGGCACCCTGCAGATCTGTCAGACGCCAGCAGCTGCTCTCCCCAGGCTGTGTGTTCCTCGGCCAAGAAGGCTCAGTTTAGGCACGATCACCTAAACCGGGCTGTCCTTGCCTGTGGGCTTACAATCTCAAAAGTCAAAATGCACAATGAAAACGAGGTGTGTCTTGGGGAGGGGGATGATTAGTCATTGCTGTCGGACTGGCCATACTTGGGCCTTTCATCTTGTGCTCAGGACAAAAAGCCCCCATGCGCCTTCTCGTGGGATGGGTGGACTGGGCCTGTGCTCTCTCTCTCTCTCTCTCTCCCCATACTCCTTGCAGGGATTTCGCTAACGGAATTCTTGCTTTCCTTCCGAGAATCGCTGAGCAGAATGTGTAGCTCCCCTCTTTTGTCAGTTTGCCTCCACAACAATTCCGTAGGAGAGTTTAGGCCAGGAGACCGCTACCAGCCCTGGGTTCCTCTCTGGGATTCAGGGCAGGCTGGGAGAACTTCAGGCCTGCTTGGCCAGCCCTCATTTAGCCACTGTACCGCAGAGCCCCTTTTTCCGTGAGCTGGTAAAGACGCCCACTCCTCCTGTGGATTCAGTGTGCTGTACCCATTTCTGTGGCCACAAACCATACCCCCTTAGCAGAAGCCTAATGTACCGGACGCACTGTGGATGTATTCCTGTTGCATCCTTCCCTTTTTCCATCCCAAGGGACCCGAGGTGGCTCATGTAATCCTCCTCTCCCTTCTGTCCTCGCAACAACAGCTCTGCAAGGTGGGTTGGCTAGTTCACAGTCACCAAAATGAGCGTCACGGCCAAGTGGACACTCCAGCCCACTCCTCCACCTAGCCCCTTTCCAGCCGCCAGCAACCCCTGAGCTCTTCCCACGCTTCCATCAGTGACTTATCCCCAGGAGCGGGCAGAGAATCCAGTCTCGTCATCCCTGTCTCTTTCTCTCCCCCCGGTCCGCCTCACCCTCTTACGGACACACAGGTCGGCCGAGTCAGCGTCTACGACTCTGCGAGGCAGACGGGCAAGACAAAGGAATCCAGCGTCAACTGGAGCCTGCCGGACGACACCGACGTTGAAGTCCTGGATGGCACAAAAGGCAAAGTGGATGGGTAAGGGCAGGCGATTGCCTCTCCCAGTGGCGGGTTGTTGGGGGGGATACTTGGGAGGTGGTCCTGCTTGGGAGGTGGGCTGAGGGCATGTGCCGTGCTTGCTGAAGCTGCCCGGTTGCGTTCCTGAAACCTCCAGGTGGGGTTGAAGGAACCCTGCGTTGTTGCCGCTGGTCAGTCTCCTCTGCAGCCTGGTTCTGAGGTGGCCAGCCAGAATAGCAGTGTGGGATTTAAGCTCAAACCAAGGATGCCCACCCTAACCCTTTGTGTTTCCCTAAAGCACAAATCAGACCTACCGATACACATACTGCTTGTTCCATATCACGTTTAATCGTACTGATATCCCACGATTTTTCCTACAAGGAACCCAGGACCACTTGCCTGGTCCTCCTCCATTTTATCCTCACAGCAACCCTGTGAGGTGGGCTGGGCTGAGAGACGGCGACTGGCCACAAGTCACTCAGTGAGATTCATGCTCAGGTGGGAACGAGAACTCCTCTCCCAAGCCCCGGTCCAGGGCTCTCAGCACTAGGTTAAACTGGCTGTTTGCGATTAAAAAACCCCATCAAGCTTCCACAGCAATCTGAGACAGCGAAGCCCTCGCACAGAAAAACGGGAGCGGTAAAAGCATTCTCATGAGACGGAGGCACATCGCTGAGCGGGAGCCTGGCAGCCATCCTCAGCCTCTCTTCATGCTCATGAGACTTCGGCGCAACATCCAGCGCTGCACCTAGTGGTGCAGCTTTGTTCCTAGGTGGGCCGCTTCCTTCGCACGCCCCCCCGTACTTCTAAAAGCAATTAGCCATTCCAAGGCCTCGAGGAATTCACGGGCCTGGTTGTGAACTTAAATGGGAACTGAAACCTAATGTGGCACTTAGAGTGTAAGACTTAGGTTCTCCTGCCCCATTAAAAAGACACGCGCAGCATTTCTCCGATCCGCACGCTTTGCATTTTGCACGCAGAGGTCCGCTGCAAACCGCTCCATGCTTCAGCTTCCCAAAGCGTTTACCCTCCGTTTCCCTCCTGTGTCGACAGACCAAAACTGGAGGTGTCGCGGGTCTCCAAGAGGAACCTGTTTGCCCTCTTCCAATTGCTTTGTGCCAAGATGGATCGCAAGGGCCTGCAGAAATTTACCGTGTATGCAGAGGCCAAGGAAGCGGCCGTCACGTACCAGAGTGCCAAGCGACAGTTTTTCTGGGCCTTGCAGGAGATGGGCTACGGTAGCTGGATCTGCAAACCCCAGGAGGAGAAGACCTTTGGTCTGTCTGAAGTCTAGAAGCTGTGCATTTTATTTTATTTTATTGTATTGTATTTTTTGGATGCAGGGGATTACAGGAAGGGGTATTTTTTATGATTTTAGGTTTCTTTGTTTTTTAACAGGAGCAGGAAAGCTAACTTAAGGGTTCTGGAGGCCTTCCTTCGGGTTTAAATTGACAGCACGTTTTAATTCTGTTGGGAAGGATGGAGCTCTTCCCCCTCTTTAATTTTTACCCCTTTTCAGCAAACATGAGCGAAGGAATGATCCAGATGCGTGTCCAAAAGAGAGAGAGAGAGAGAGAGCGCGCCACCAGCCTCCATCTGTGCCCAAGTCCTCCCCTGTCCCTTTGCTGGTCAATAGGCTGCCTTCTTTCTGTCCCTCCTCTTGGATTTTACGAAGAACCCCTTTCCCAAGCTGTGAATCAGTGTACTGGTAGCTACACAACACTTCCCTGCCGCCTTAGCTCCCTGGGTATTTCTTTCGTCGCTTGGTTTGGATGGGGATCCAAAGGCTGGGCCTACCTCACGCCTGGGGAGACCCCCCGGAGTTGGCCGGCCTCGTTTTAGGCGGGCTGAAGCCCTCCCGCAAATATTTGGAATGCCGCCTGGCTCCACCCGGCTGCAAAGCGGAGGCCAACTCCCTGCTCCTTCCTGGCCCTGTGGGGAAGACCCAGCCTTCTTTGAGGTGGCTGTTCCATAGGCGACCATGCTGCAAACTCCTGTGGCGTGCCAGCACCTTCCCCACCTGTGTCTGTCACTGCCTCCTTGCAGGTGTGTTCTCATGGCAGCTGCTTGATGGTTGGTTTGAGCTCAGCTGCCCCTGGCCGGGGCGAGGGAGGGCAACACGGACCAGGGCAAGAGGGCATCCTTCAGTGAAACAAGCTTGCGGGCTTCTGTTGGCAGGAAGGCAATCCGGATGGGGGTGGCGGCAACGCCTTGGGTCTAGCACAGCGGGGCACAGTGGTCTTCCCCTTGATCGACGGGGGGGGATCTCTTTCTCCTTCCCTCCTCGGAATGGGTGCTTGGGCGGTGTAGGTGTTGTTCCTCTGGAGCACAGCCCTCGTGAGGCCGAGGGGTCTCTGCAAGGTGACTCGCCTTCGACAGCCACCCACCTCCTTTCACCTCTGTGGTAAAACTGCATGGCCGGATCGTAACGTGCGGAGACTCTCGTAAGGCATCGGATGTTCGATCCTCTTGGAGCTCCACTTGATCTCACCCCATACGTCCGCTGAGGCAAAACTCTTCTCCAGGCTGTCCCATTTCAGGATGCACGGCTCTGGCTTGAATCGCTTTCTCCTCCCTGGGACGATGCGGAAATCCAGCACTGCAGCGGGAAGCTTCTCGGCCAGTATCTTCTATGCGACGTCTGTCCCCGAAAGAGGACATGTACGGAGGCGCGTTTGCACCTACGGAGGGGCCGCTTGTGCTCCGTCAAGGCACGGCTCAGGACTGCCACCTCCGCTGCGGTTCGGTGCATGAAGGCGGGTGCTGAGTGCCGTCGGACTTCCGTGCAGGATCGTGCCCCGAAACCGTGAAGGGAAAAGTCACCGCTTGGCCTCGTAGCTCCTCAAATGCCCTTCCCCGGTCCTTAAGCAAGCCCTGTGTCTCGACCCCACAGCCAAGCTCTTGGCTGCTGCGGAAATGCTGGAGCTGGTCAGAGGTGGTTCTCCTGGCTCCACGGGACGCCTTCCTCTGAGGCTACCCAGAGATGCCTTGTGTTTGTTCTTCCATAGATTTTGGAGGCTGGAAGCAAAGCAGAGCATCGCTGCGGTACAGCCAAGGGCTTGGAGCCGTGTTTCACCAGCTCCCCTTCCCGCCTGGATGGCTGGGCAGTTGCGGTAGTGGTGTAACGGGGGAATTCTCTTTATGCAAACTTTCCAATTGAAGGCAGCCTCTCCAGTGGCACCACCACCATCTTCCCACCCATCCCTTGTCCTCTGTAGATCATCTCATTCCTTAGTTGTGAAGGCTCCGGTGAGCAAAAACAAAACGCAGCTGTAAATTTATCGGCGGCAAATCCAATCATTCCCTTTTAAGTGCCCCTTTAGGTACCATTGTTGAAGTCATCACATTCCGCCTGAAATAAAACATATTTTTTTCTGTATCTGGTTTCTTCGGCGTCATTCTTCTGGGGGAGAGGGACCCAGGGCAAGTCTGACCCCTCCTTAATTCACCTGAAACGAAAGCACTCCCCTTGCAGACCTTCGCGTTCGGCAAGGGTGTCCCGATATCCCTGGGATTGCGAGCTGGCGAAACAGCTCTACCCAATGCAGCTTGATTCCTTCGCGCTGCAGTGTCACACGGACACCCTTGGACTTTTAACTAAAAGAGAAGGGGTGGATCCTGCTAGGTCAGTCGCAGGCAGCTTTCCGCTTCCTGACAGCCAGCCCAATCGGTCGCCGATTGCAATATTGCAGTATTGATGACTTTGCCTTGGATCTGGTCTCTCTCCATTTATCTTTCCTCAATGAAAGAAAAGAAAAAATAATAGGAAGGTTTTTTCAAAAAGCAGGACCATCCGCCAAGTCCTGAGTATACACGCATCTCCTGCTTGTGCAAAAGGGAGTCTCTCTCACTTTTGCGTGGGATGCGAGTTGGCCAAAACCACACGCCTGGGTGAAAAGGCCGAGCCGGGAAGGCTTCTGAGGCAGTTCCAGTATGCTGAGCTTTTCTTGGAGCAGAACTGGGGGTGGAACACAGATCGCTCGGGAATAGCAGTAGCTGCACTTCACATGTACATGTGCACACATTTCTGGAGCTGTCCCTTTCACACACGTGTTGTGGAAGGCCCAAGAAATAGGTGTAGCAGTCTGACAAAACGGCCCTGCTGCGGGAAGGAGTTTCGTACCTGTTTCCTCATGAAAGGTTTTGGCTCTGGCTGGCTGTCCTCTGTATTTCCAAAGCAAGAACAACTGTCTAGTATTCCTTCCCTGTCTTGCGGTTCTGCTAAAAATTCTCATGACTTGCTTTCATTGTGTGGTTTCAGGGTAAGAGAGGAAAAAGGTGAAGGATAGCATCTGTCTCTAAATTTAGCTATCAGCTCCGCAGACCTGTCAGAGGTAAGGTTTTCGGTGGGTAGGAAAACTCCCAACGGGGACAATTTGTTGCTGGATCCAACCAACCTTTGTGGTGTCTGGGTGTGATGGAAGTTCTAGTTTTTAATGTGCTGGTGGCTAGTTTTGGAAAGGCTGGCTTAAGCCGTCAGGCAGGGTTGACTTTGGGAGAGTCTGGAAAAACTGTCAGCTTAATCTTTGTTCTGGAGCCATTGCTGCAGCACCTGCTCATGGATAAACATGGCTGCAAATTTGATCTCGGCAGGATTCCACTTTGCCAGCAGAGTGGGAAGCAAGCTGTATTTTGGGAGATGGCAGCTTAGGATTGTATAACCAAGCTCCCTTGTAATGTGTGAGAAATTAAACAGCTGCCGGTAGGTGGGAAGGCAGACCAAATTTGCCTTTTTGTGGTTTATTAGTTTCATAATGAGGAATAAAGAATTTTGCCTTTTGAGAGGTCAAAGCTAGTCCAAGGAGGGTGAGAAGCAACCTGGTAAGTAGAAAACGGTGCGTGTGAGGGAGGAGAGGTTTTTCCTTTCTTGTAACATTAGATCCCCAGATGGTCAGAACAACATGGTGGCAGATCCTGACTATCAACTTGGATGGCTTTAAAAGGGGGATTAGATTCCTGGAGGATGAGAGCTTTCTAACTGGGCTGGCAATATATTACCCCCGGTATCCGATAGCAGTTGCTGAAGAAGAACAGGAGAGGTTGTTGCCCTTCTATCTTTCATGAAAGCAATAGCTTTCTCTCAGCGCTATCTTCTAGCATCTGCTTACAGATAGACTGCCCCTACACACAGAGGTTCCACCACACAGCTAATCAGTGCCCACCTTTGAATTTGCCTTTTTTCCTTTTGGGGAAAAGACTGCAAAGAGTACACCTGTCTTCAGTTTGTGCCTGCACTTGCTTGTTGCAGATTGCCTTATCTAGGTTCTTGCGACTGGAGAAAGTATCGGCAAAAGCACGAGTGAAGAACACGAAACTGAAGCGGAAAGCAACAGCAAGACTAAGAGACTGCCTGCTAGCCAGGGGAGCCGAGAGATCTCAAAACTCCCGCAGTTGGCTGCCTTGCCTTGGCAAAGCAGGAGGAAGTGGGGCGGCCTCCAGTCCATGTGCTAAGTGCTCAGGGAGGGGAACGTATGGATTCGTCTGGAAGTGGCTGATTCTGCAATTGGAAAACCTGCTCAGAGAATCCAGCACTTAACTCCATTGTACAGAGGAGCTTGCTGGATTCACAGGACCAACTGGACCTCAGAGTCTGCTGGTCTTGCCATGTTTGGTGACAGACAGTGACTCTCTGGCTTTAGGCACACTGTCCTCAGGACCCGTTACTTGAGATCAGTGGTGTCCTTTCAGACTGAAACTTGCTTCTGCCCAAGAGTAGGAGTGTTGAAGCTCAGCCAGCGGGCCAAGTGCAGACCCCCGAATGATCTTGCTCCTTCCCTTCGCCCCACTCTTTCCCCCTCTCTGTAGATCATGTGCCAGCTTGTAGGCTTTTCCGTGTCTCCTCCTGCCTCCCGTGAGAAAGGTTGAAAGGCCTCTCAGAAGCGTAGTTTAAGGTGATATAGCCGGGTTGCTTGTCATGTTTACACCCTTTTTACACAAGGTTTACAAACTTTTACAAAAGTTTACACACTTTTGCTTTCAGTCTTGCCTAGAATGCAGATCCCAGAGATTCCCTCCAAAATCAAACAACTGGACTTTGTTTTCTCGACGGAGCAGGTGGATGGTGGTTCCGTGGTGGTGGGGCTAACGTCTACCCCATTGTCATGGTCGGACCATTACCTGGTCAAGTTTAGGTGGCGGCCTCTTTTTCCCCTCTGCAAGGGTGGTGGATCAGTTTGAATGATCCACCCCGGAGTCTGATGGATGCTGAAGGTTTCTGAAGGGCTCTGGGGGATTGTCCGGCTGATCCGGTGGGTGCTCCTGCTGATGCCCAGGTTGCCCTATGGAATAGGGAAACGGCTTGGGCAATCAACACGATGATGCCCAGGCGCCCTCTCCCCTCCCACCGAGCCCGTGCAACACCCTGGTATGGCAATGAGCTGAGGGCAATGAAACACAGAAACAGAGCGAGACAGAAGGGGTCTCCCGGGCCATCTAGTCTGACCCCTGGCTCCAGCCAGCTCTGCTCATGACATGCCCACCATGTGCATGAAGGGAGACAGCTAGAGTGCAGGTGGAGGAAGTCTCATGATGAGTCTGAACACGTTATGAGCTCACTCCATGGACAACCTTCCTCCAGGCCTTCCTGTCCTCCACCATCCCCCGGAGTCCACCTAAGCCCACACCCACTGCCCCAGGGACTCCATCCAGCCATCTCATCCTCTGTCGTCCCCTTCTCCAATGGTCCCCAGCATCAGGGTCTTCTCCAGTGAGTTGCTCCATCTCATTCGGTGGCCAAAATATTTGAGAGGTGTGTCTACTGAGGTCACAGATGGTAAAGCATCCCATTTACATGTACTGGTGAGACGATGGAGGGAGAAACTCTAATTCTGCCTAAATTCTTGCCCAGTTGGTACCAGTGACCGAATCTGGCACCTTTCTCTGTGCAAAGTCGTTGATGTTGATTTCTACCCAACCAACTTCAAGGAATCGTAGTGACCTGATGAGCATGAAATCTCCTCTCCGTGATGCATTCGCAAGAAGCTGTCAAGTCGGAAAAGGTAAGCCCATTCCGTCCTCTCTCCCCACAGAGGCAGTGTTGGGGGGGACCCATGCAGGATGCACCCCCAAATTTTGCACCTGAAGCCCAAATCTCGAGGAGGCCGTCCACCTCGCGTCTTGCTGTCCACTGGTACTTGCCGAAAGTACGATACCGGAGCTTTGGTGATCGGTTGCACCCGGGCCCCACCTTGCCTTGGATTAGCTTCCCTTTTGCCTGAATGTGCTTCGTTTCTGACTTGAATCTCTCCGCCTGAGGTTTTCTTCCAATATCAAATGTTCCCCTCTCCTCTGTTCATTACATCCCTTTTTACAAAAATGGGGTGTCCACCAGGAACAGACTCCCTTAAATATACATACGGAGATACTTGCGAGCCCATGGAAATTAGTATATGCAAAACTGTTCATTTTGTTCTGCTCTGTGGGCCAGAGCCCCTGTATCCCCTGCACTGTGTATCTTCAGACTGTTGAACAGGATCAGTGCTTTCCACATGGCCAATCTTTTTAACCAGAGGAGTTGTTCCAGAGGTTTAAATATACAGATTTCCTCATTGCTAATTCTTTTTGTCTTTCCTAAAGCTCTTGCATTGAGAACAACATTCGGCAAGGCACAGAAACAGTGTTGAGATTTTAAGATGCCCCCAACACTTGACAGAACCCCCCTGTCTCGCCTCCCAACACGTCTTCCCCAGCTCAGCCATTTTCAGATTTCTGATTTTCCTTGCTCTACTGAGGACTAGCAACCTGGTGGTTTTGTTTTGCTATATAGAAGGAGGTGGTGAGGTTCTTAGATCTTTGGAAAAGCAAAGCAAGGCTTCTGTTTGGGGACTGTCGTCTCTGGATCAGTTCATGTCCAGTTTGCTGACCACAGGACTGAGGACACAAAGCAGGCATTACTTTACATCCATATTTAGCAGCCAGATCTTTTTCCATTGTTACTTTAGAGTATTCACTGGAAGGGGACATCCCAAAAGCCCTCATCTCGCCACCATACTCCATCTGAACCGGCCCCCGTGCCTTCTGTAGAGCAACCCCCCTCTGGCTAGAGACATTTAAACAGATACACCCTCTGTTTGGCCATTAAAAGCCCTTCACCAAATGCTTCACAAGCACACACCCCAACACACACACACACAGGCACAGTCTAATGAGGGTCCGTTCCCATTGATGTGATCTATTTTATTGGTTTTGCGGTGTCAGCATTGGTTTTCGGGGGCAGGAAGACACAGTCCCTGGCTGTACGGGGAGGACCCCTTGGTCTCTCTCCCCAGGCCGCTGGTGGTCATCAAATGTGGAAGTCCCCACCCTGTTTCATCGGTCCGTTTTCCTCCTCCTGTGCCCACGCACGTACTACTAGGAAGGTGTTCTCGGCATTGCTGTGTCATGGAAGAAGAACGTTGATTAGATCTACGCAAGGTTGGCAAGTCAGTGGCTGACACCCCTCACAGGGCGGTGCAAACCTCAGAATGACTCTGCTAGAGATCGGCTCTTTCTGTTCCGTAACTTCCCCTTGAATATGTAGGTGGCATGTGTATATATGTGTATTTTTCCCTGAGTTGGGAGCTGGTACCCCATTCTTGGCCCAAGCCAAGGGCATCTGGGAGAGGGAGAGGTGGTACCAAGACCCCTTTGTGTCCCCCCCACCCCCCAGGACTCACTGCTCTCTTGACCTTACATTGAATGTGTTCTCCTGGCTGTTCAGAAACTTGGCCCGTCCCTGCAGCTGTTTGGAAGGAAGATCAGCATGTTTTCCTCGCGAGCTTTTGTCAGTCTTAGAGAATTCCAGCCAGTTGGCCAGCTAGTCCAAGAGAACCTACAATGCCTAGGAGCAGAGAAGAGCTCGGGGAACGGATGTTCCCCCATCCCATCACCTTTGTTTGTAATGGTAAGAGCAGGGACTGGACCCCTGGCCTTCTGCATACAAAACACGTGCTCTGCCTTTGCCCAACACGGCCCCCGGCCCCCCAGCCAAGGGATGCATCCCAGTAATCCGTCCTTTCCGTCTGCTCCCTGTTCCTTGAGCAGGTCGTGGTCCAGGTCCTAAAGAGAGAGCTGGGGAGACAAGGAGGCATGGAAGGAGTTCCTTTTCCTAGGTCGCACTTCGAGGCAGTGTCCACAGAAGGACTGGGTGGGCGGGGGGTCCCTTTCACACTCTCTTTCCTCTGGGCAGGGGGGCAGAGAAGAGGGGCAGCCCAACCCCTATTTGGAGCTGGGCACGCCATGGTTGATTTGCAGAAGGGAGTTGGTGGCGTAATTTTGGAAGAGCGGCTGCAAAAACATGCCGATGGTACCGAAGACACAGACGAAGACGAAGATCCACAAGAAGAGGCGGTCGATCACCATGGCCACGTACTTCCAGTCCTCGCTCACCTGGGAGGAAGCAAACACCTGAGATGAGCGGGGCAACGCATTTTCTGCCCGGTAACTCATTTCTGTGAGTATTCTATGCTTTAAAGTTTTTTGTCTCCCTCCAGAAGGTAAAAATGCCCCCGAAACCCCTCACAGTTGCTCACTCTTGTGGTCGGGAATAGACACTGGCCCCATTCCAGCTTAGCTTTGCTTACACAAAATGAGCATCTCCTGAGAACCATGAATCTGCAAATATAATTTAAAAGAAAATAGGAGAATGCCCACAAACAGCATACAGTTCTAACTTAGGAGAGCCAAATCCTTTGCCAGGAAAACAGGAAAGAGACTCGTACAGATGGTTCTCCTTCCTTGCCAACAAGTGGCTTTTTGCCTTCCTGCTGTTAAAAATCATAAAGTCTAGGAACGTTGCTTCTCTTAAGTCGAAGGCATTTCCACCTCCCTCTTCCTTCGGAAGTGAAGTTCTCTGCTGTGAAATGCTGCGTTTTGCCTTTCCGTTGTGTTTGTGCTTGTGATCGCACACTGCCCCGATCGATAGACGGCCCCTGCCAGGGGCCCACAAATCCAACGGGACAAAAGCATCCAGCCCCCAGGCGAGCAGGAGACCACCCAGCACAGTCCAACCTTGGGGGGTCTCACTTCTGCGGCCGTTTTTGGAGCAGTTCTGTTTGTTCCTCCCTCCCAAACGCTGCCTCTCTCCGAAATCTCTGCTGATGACTGCAGAGAACACCTGGATGGTCCCAGGTCTGTCCTGCCTCCCCGCAGCACACGCACTGGACGGAGCCCCACTGTTGACATCACCCATCATGTGTTCCAGCTCCCCCCCCACTCCCCAATCTTCAGTTCCTATGGCGACCACTTCGAACTGGTCCTCTGAGCATCTTCCGCGGAAGAGACAGGATGCAAGGAACTAGCTATGACGCACTGCTGTCCGATCGGAGATGACAGTGTGGTGGGGGGAGCGGGGGGTGGATTTTCACAGTGCCGAAACGCCCACCGCCGCGTCAATCGCTGTCGGCTGCCGTCCCAACACCCCGAAAGAGAGTCTTCTCCTACTGTGTCCCTGCGCGTGAATATTTCATGCACCTTCAGCATCAGGACGCAGCCAAGCAGAAGCGAAATATCGATTCCAGAGCTTTGCTGCTCGGTTCGAGAACACGGACACCACACACTGGGGATTTGGGGGGGGTCAGCGAAGGATAGACTTCTCTGACTCATGCTTCTGTGGCAGAGCGGAAGCCTGCATGTCCCTGGGAGCACTGACAAGCCCTGAGTGTGAAATGGCCACCCGTGACACAGACTGGCAATTTTGGGATACGGACCTGGCAGGCCCATGACCTCCCCTTGCCCTTCTTCAGATGCTAATAGGAATTAATTCTTGGATTTCAGAGACTCCGGCCAACGGCGCTACGGTAGCTTCTCTCTCACCTCTTCATGTGCTCCGTTTCAGAAAGCAATGCAAGGTTTAACACACAGATGGCCAGCACGGGTCACGGGTGCCTCTCCTCCCTCTCTCCAGATCACATCCCACAGATCCGCCCTCAAGGTGATTCCCAAGCAAGTCAGGGAATTAGCGCTTTGGAAGGGACCTGGAGGCCCTCCAGTCCAGCCCCCCGTGCTTGGCGCAGGCTGGGGCCTTACCCTGAAGCTTGCTACTGAATTTATTTCAACCGGAGCATCGCTTTCAGTGCTGGAGGGGCATTCAGGGGCTGAAGTGGGGTGGGCGAGTGGGGCAGAGGCACCGGGGGTGGGCCCAGGAAGTACGGGCAGCTTGCAGCTCCGACTGCCAGGAAGGAAGCCTGGGGAGGGGCATTCTGATCTCGGGAAGGGAAGGGAAGGGAAGGGAAGGGAAGGGAAGGGAAGGGAAGGGAAGGGAAGGGAAGGGAAGGGGGAACTGCGCAGAAGCCAAAAGAGGGCCGAGTCGTGGGAGCAGGATGGGGCAAGCCACCTGGGAGCCTGCCGATGTGTCCCCTGGCCTGAGGCTCGGTTCCCCCGTCCCGCCTTCCCCAGCACGGTCTTCCCAGCACGTCGCCCCGGCCACTCACGCTTTGGTCGTCATCTTCGCTCCGCATGTGGTCAGCGATGAAGCGCACGCCGTCGACGGCCTCCTCCAGTCCGCAGCAGCAGTGGCCGGGCGGCGGCGGCGCCGTTTGGCCTGGCCTGTCCCGGTAGCCGTTGAGCCCATCCGCCGCTTCCAAAAAGGGCCTTCCTCCTCCCCCTCCTCCTCCTCCACCGCTGCCTCCACTCCCTGTCCCGAGCTTCTTGACAGTGGACGGGTTGGCATAGCAGGTGCAGGAGTGGGCCCCCTCCCGCAGGAAGAAGCCCCCGGAGGCCCGCTCCTGGCTCTGGCGCTTCTGCCGCAGCCGCTGCCGGGCACAGTTCTGCCGCGGCTGCTTCATGAAGAGCAGGGTGGGCAGCTTGTCGAGGAAGACCACCTTGACCCACGGCGGCATGGTGTGGGTGGTGGGCGAGCGGTGGTGGACGTTCAGGACGCAGACGCTGGTGACGATGGAGAAGGTCACCAGCACCATGGTGAACATCAGGTACTTGCCCACCAGCGGCACGTCCAGCGAGGTGGGCGGCACGATCTTGGAGATGAGCAGCAGGAAGACGGTGAGGGCCAGCAGCACGGAGATGCAGAGGGTCATCTTCTCGCCGCAGTCGGAGGGCAGGTAGAAGACCAGGATGGCCAAGGACGTGATGAGGATGCACGGGATGATGAGGTTGATGGTGTAGAAGAGCGGCTTCCGGCGGATGATGAAGTCGTAGGTGATGTCCACGTAGGTGGAGTCGTTGGGGTTCTCGTTGCGCCGCCCGGGCAGGGCGATGATGTCCCACTCGCCGCTGGGCGTGAAGTCGTCCAGGCTGGCCACCTCGTTCTTCAGCACCAGGTCGATCTCGGTGCGGTCGTAGGTCCACGAGCGGAATTTCATGGTGCAGTTCTGCTGGTCAAAAGGGAAATGCTTCACCTCGATTTTGCAGGCGCTCTTGTAGATGGCTGGCGGGAGCCAGAAGATGCTGCCGTCGTAGGACACCACTGCGTTGGAGTAGAAGGACACCTCGTACATCCCGTCGGCGCTGGGAAGAGGAGGGGGAGGAGTGACTCCGAGCTGTAGCTGCTTTGGAGGTGTGGAACCTGGCAGTGGCCCGGGTTTAGATGGCCCGAAGGGGGAGCCAGTGGCCGGATGGCGTCCCTGGGTGGTGGGAGTGGGCTTGGGTGGGCTCCGGGAGAGCCTGGAGGAGGGTTGTCCGTGGGGTCGCGACGGGTCAGGCATGAGTTTGCGACTGAACAACCAACAAGGGTTGGAGCTTCGGCCTGGAACTCAGGAGACCTGGGTTCTAGTCGCCACTCAGCCATGGGGCTGCCTTTGCACCAGCCCGACTCTCAGCCTGGCCTACCTCACAGGGCTGTTATGAGGATAGATTGATATCGATAAGAAATAGCCATGATTACTTTCCTTCCTTGCAATGGGAAAAACGGGAACTGATATAAGTGCTGCTCCATAGAGGAGGGATGGAAACGTTGCCTAAATGGACCCCAGAGCCAGAGGTCACAGGAGGTACCGCTCTGGTCCCAGCCCTTCCTCTCTCGATCCTGTTGATTTGGGCCTCCCCTTCCTTGCAAATCTGGCCAGACTCCCTCCATTTTCCATCCGGGGAGAAACTGCCTGGAACACTGGGGTGTTCAGAGTACACCCCATTTTTGCGGGTGACCCTTGGAGACTTTGAATCACGTCCCACCAATGAGGCCGAGAAGAAGGAATCGGAGGTATGTGGCCTGGGAATAGGGTCACTAAGAAATAGCAGCATTGCTATTCTTAATAAAATATCTTTGCTATTACTAATAAATGTTAACATTACCGTCACTAATACGGACATGATAAATGCAATCTATATAATTTTGCTCCAGCCTTCTGGAACCATTGGCTGGGTTGACCAGACATGATGGGAATTTTATTATTTTTTTTATTACATTACATTTATACTTTCTCACTCTTGCAAGGAAACCAAGGTGGCCTTCAAGGCTCTCCTCCTTTGTGATTTAGTCTCGCCTCCTTTGCCATTTATTCCCACAACAACAACCCTGCGAGGTAGGTTGGGCTGAGAGTTTGTGACTGGACCAAAACCACCCAGTGAGCTCCATGGCTGAGCGGGACTTGAACCCGGATCTCTCAACACCATGGTACACCCTCTCATCAGCCCAACACGGATGCCAAGCTGTAGGTTTGTGGCCCTTTACAGGCCAGTGCGATTTGTGGTGGTGCCGGTCGCCTCTTTCTGTCTTGCGCTAGAGTCCACGGCCTCTGGCAGAAGCTACAGGGGGATGGGAAAAGCTAGGAAGAGACCCAGGGTGTTTAAAGTCCTGCTTTTAAGCCATGTGGATAATCTTCCGACTCATATTGGAGATCAAGGGTACGCCATCTACCTGTTTGGGACCAGACTTTACCCCAGCCCGGGGACATCTGGAAGCGTTGGGCCACGGATCTCAAAATCCACAGCCAGTGTGGCACCCGGCACATTCCAGACCTTGGCGTGAGCACAATCCAAGCTGTGTCAAGACAGCAAAAGCCCTACTGTTTCCAGCATTTCCCAGCCCCCCCAGGGTGTGGAATGGGCTCCCCCGGGAGGTGGTGGAGGCCCCATCGGTGAGGGTGTTCAAGGATAGGCTGGACGTGCACGTGGTGGGCATGTCGTGAGCGGAGCCTGCTGGAGCCAGGGGTCAGACTAGATGGCCAGGAGACCCCTTCTGACTTTTTATGTTTCTAAGGGATAGGACTGCTTCCTGTGCCCCAAAACACCCATGTCGCACTCCCCCTCCCCACCGACCCTTGGCAGTGCTGGCTGGGGCTGATGGGCACTGCAGTCCCAGGCATGCACCAGCCTGCCTCTCTCTGCTCCCAGGGCTGCAAGGATCAAGAGCCCCTCCGGGGCACCTACTTGTTGTACAGCACAACGTCCGGGAGCCAGATGTGCTTGGATGGCAGCCGCACCTTCTTCATGTCGTCGAATTCCTCCGGGTTCCACGTGAGGCGATAGTCTTCCCACTCCTTGGAGGGTCAGAGCAGGCCAGTCAGGTGCCGAGCGCAACTTTGACTCCCCTCCCAGCCCCACCTTTTCCCACTTGGTCTTCCCTTCACCCTACTGGAACTCTTGAAGGGTAGACAACACCGTCCCTGTCGAAAGGGGAGCCATGCTGAACGGCTGTCCCACTGAAGAGCCTCTGGGGCTCCAGGTTAGGGTATTTTTATCCCGTCCCATACACGTCGTCTCTGGACGGCTTACAAGAGGACTGGGACCCACAAGTGGAAAGTTTTGGGTGGTACCAGAAGAATGGCAAGTGAGTGATTGAGATCCGACAGGTAGTGAACACTCCCAGTGTCCGAAACCCAGGATTGTTTTTCGGAGCCAAACTTATTCCGTAAGGAATAAGAGCCTTCCTTACGGCCTTCAGGAACTGCACTGGAGATCACAGTCTTGGGTCGGCCCTCCCAGTATTTTCTTAGAGAAGAGCTGCTTTTGCTGTAAGAGTGAAACAGAAGCCTTACGGAAGCAGCTTTGCTTGCGGGAAGGCAAGGCTGGGGGGGGGGGGGAGCGTGTGCCTGCCGCGTACTGGGGCAGAAGAACTTCATAAAATCCATAGCAAGAGCCTCGCTAAGTTTTCGGCTCGAGAAGAAATCACAGTTTGCTCAGCCAGCTGATTTGGAGACTCCCTGAGTATCTCCTGGCCTATCCCGGGACCCGATACAGCCAAGAAGAGAAGGGGAGTTTCATCTTCCTTTGCTTGTTTATTTTCTGCATCCATCTTTCATCACTGAGTTCAATAAATCGTATATCACCTTTCCTCTTAAATATGTTCTGAACTGAAGTGAGGAACCCTGGCTGAACCAGAAAACAAGCCAATTTTGGCTAAACACTAGCAGAAATTTCTAATTTAGTGCATTTCTAGACCATCTAGTAGCTCTCCTAAAAGTTGAAGGATGTCCCAAATGAGTGAGGAGCAGTCCATCTGGTTTGCAAGCCTTTCCAATAATTATTATATTGCATTTGTTGTCTATCTTATGTCCTTTCGTGAGGAAGCCAAGGCGAATTAAATAGCTACATTTTATCATAGCAACCCCTGTCAGGTAGATTGGGCTGAGAGCCAGTGACAGGCCCAAAGCATCCCGTGAGCTAATTATGCTGTGCTTTAACTAAGGGGAGGGGCCTATTTCCAATTCCAGGCTTGCCCAGCTGCCAAAGCTAAAAATAAATAAAATATGGGTAAGTGCATAGAGGAATCATAGAATGGTACAGTTGGAAGGGTCCATGAAGGTCATCTAGTCCAACCCGCTGCGGTTGCAGGACACCAAGTTACACCGTCCCACTCAATAAAAGGGGGGGGCTGTATCTCACCTGCGTTAGCCATACGTTGGTCGTCATGATCTGCTCTCTCTCGTGCTGCAGACAAAAGCAAAGGAAAAAAAGATTACAAATGCCCCCCCAAGGACTAGATCTTTTCTATCCATCTGTTGAAAGACTTTGCAATTAGCCCACAAAGTTAAGCAAGTGGATGGCCGTCCAGACAAAGAGAAGGGCCATTCTTAAATATTTTTATGTGCCAGCCTTCCCTGGTCTGGTGCCTTCTAGATGTTTTGGACTGCAATTCCCAGCAGGCCTGGTCATTGCTCCTGCTGGCTGGGGATGTTGGGAACTGAAGTGAAAAACATCTGAAATGTGCCTGATTGAAGAAAGCGTGCAAGAGTGTCGGATTGCAACAGATCTCTGATCCCTCCTTTGCTGTTCTCAGTTTCTGTAAACTGTGATATTGCTAAACAGTGACAAATGAGTTTTTCTTAAGTCTGGAGTGCCACAGAACAAGAGGGAAATAAGGCAGCAGACCCGGCTTGTGCCAATTTTAATACGTAGTTGCGTCCTTCTCATTTTGTTCGTTTAAATATTTTGATAGCGTTAAGGTTGCAATCATGCGCAGGTTTATGCAGAAAACAAGCCACGGTGGAGTTTTGGGGCTTAATTCCCCATCCAAAATGCAAAGGATTGCGTCCAAAGACATCTTGGGGGAAGCAGGATTAGTTCGCCTCATGCAAGGCGGCTGTATCCAATTGCATTTGATCGAAACTTGCTCCGTGTCTTCCGTTGGTTTCTCTCCATCTCAAAATATTTTCCACTGCAAGCGACAAATGTCTATATGCAGAACCAGGCAATGGCGAGTTGCAGTCAAGGCACAAATAAAAATGAGGTCTCGGGGGGAGCTGAACCACTGAGCCATATGTAAATGGGGGGGGGGGGTCCTGCTATTTCCGTAATCCTCCGGCCAGAAAAGCTTGGCTAGGGAATGCTGGGAGTTGTAGGCGTTTCTCCCCTTCTGCGCAACGATACTTCTAGGCTGCAAAAGGCCTACAACTCCCAGCATGCCCCTGGCTAAACCTCTGCAGGATTGTGTCTTGTATCTTTCTTTAAAGCAACAACCTGAAATGACCCATTCTTCAACAAAGTGGTAGTTAAGGGTGTCATCCTTTGCAGGCTGCACAATTACCTGGGAGCAGGCCCGCTTGGATATAATGGGGCTTACTTCTGAGGAGACGGGCGAGAGGTTGCTCGGTGCGTCTGCCCTTCGTTCTTATAAGCATGGAAAAAGCACTCGAGTGCAACATGCGCGCGTGTTTCAAGCATACATGCAATGGAAGGGCTGGGCCAGCCGTGGCACATGGGCCGGGCCACGAAGCCGGGTCTCTCGAGTACCACTTTAAGCAAGATCCGAGCGCTGGGCCCAATCCGGAGGGCTTTTGCTGGCGGCCAGTCCGGGAGGCCGGTGCTCCGCAAAGCCCTCTGAGACCTGGGGAGACTCGCTGGTGGCCGAGCGGGCACCGTAGCCGGGCAGGTCCGGGCCCCCCTTGCGTGCCCCCAAACCCGCTGCGTGCAAGGCGCAGGCCCAGCGGATCAGGTAGGCCTCTCGGGGTGCGGGAGGTTCGGGCACGGGAAGGAACTGCGAGGGCCTTTCTCTGCTTTCCTGCAACGGGCAGTTGGGAAGAGCTGCCTCGCCAAGCCTGGCGCCCAGCGCCGGCTCCTCCTCCTCCTCCTCCTCTTCCTCGTTGTGGCTGCCACCGGCTTGCCGGCCGGGCAGAGACGGAGCCAGGAAGCCACGCGCCTCCTGCGCTTTCCCGCCGGGCGAGAAGTGGGGGAAGCGGCGGGCGCGATGGGGAACAGCAGGAGCGGGCCCTGGTTCCTGCGCCCTTGCAGGCGCCCCATCATGCCTTCCTGGTGGGTGCCTCTGCTAAGCGGCACCGCAGCTCCCATCAGCCGCTGCCCTGGCGGGGCTGCGGGCAGAGGCAGCCCTAGCGACGCCTGAAGGGCCCCGGTTGGAGGAGGCGGGTGTCACCCATCGGTGGGAGCAGAGGCTGCGGGACCCCCCCCCCACGGCCTGCGCTAAGGCGGACGTACCACGCTGATGAGCTGGGCCAGCGACACCATCAGCTGCACGGTGACCAGCTCGGAGCCGTTGGTGGCCGGGCGGATCAGCTTGTTGTACCGCGAGGGGTCCAGGAGGTGCTCCACCAGCCGCTCCTCGGTGTCGGTGCCCAGGCTCCCTGCGGGGTGGGGCGGGGGCGAAAGAGAGGGGGTCAAGCGAGCACCAAGCTGTCCGGCCCCACAGGGCAAGGCTCCCATCCCTGCATGCCCCCTCTCCCCCCCCCCAAGGGTCTCTGCACTGGGCAGAGCTGTGCACCAGTTGCCAGCATGTGCCAAGAGGCAGGCCTTGATGTGCACAATGACCTTTAAAGCTTTTTGTGGCTTGGGCCCGAAAAACCTCCCCTTGGCGCATGTGGTCCGCCTTACCCACTAAGAGCCTCTAGGGGTAGGATACTGAAGTGTCTTTCGGTAACATTAATGCTGGACTGGGAAAACAAGGGGATCTTTAAAGACTGGGGGGCAGAGCGACACCAGAGAGAAGGCCCTAGAGCAGTGGTGGCGGACCTAGGGCACATGTGCCACGGCTGGCACGCAGAGCCCTCTCTGCCGGTGCGTGAGCCAAGTCGCAGCTGCGTGGCCTCTGCAGCCGAGCATCGGATGGCAGCGCACACAGGGGCCATGCACACGCCCGGAAAGGAGTAGCGGCGCCAGGCAATGACGTCTCGAGCCGTGACGCGTCTGAGCTTTCGCATGGCCGCTCAGTGCGCTGCCAAGGAGATATATATGTATATATGTATTTGCTTGGACTGGCCGTGAGTTGTTTTTTCTGAACGAAAAACTGAGTGTTCAGGTTTTATTGCACTGTTGGCACTTTGTGATAAATAAATGGGTTCTGGGTTGCAGTTTGGGCACTTGGTTTCTAAAAGGTTTACAATAACAGGAATAGGGTTAGGAAAGCAAGCTGTCCTGGCATGGTTTTGAATGCTGGAATGTGTTTAGGATGGGCAGGAATGATGAGCTGTGCAGAAAAAGCGACTCAAGGAAGGCTTTTTCAAAATCGCCTTACTTTCAGTGGAACTTGAGCCCTATATTAGGTTGAAATTTTTTATTTAAATAGCCCTATATTAGGGTTAGGGGTGTGCACCAGGGTAGGGTTAGGGTTAG